CATTTTGTCTCCTGACATTGACTGCAATCCTCACAGCGTAACAGCTCTCTTCCCACCTCCTCCCCGTGGTCACCTCTTCCCCGTGTCCTTCCCTCCCGTGCAGTCCCGCCCCCCGAGCTGAGCTGTCTCCCTGTGCAGACGCTGCCCTGCTGCTCTCCCGTGACTGGTCTCCCCGGGGAGTGTCTGTGTAGGTTTCTGTAAGTCGTTTACCAGGCTTTTGTTCCTGGCCTTGATCTGGGCACTCCTCTGGAAGTCGTGCAGCATCCCAGCGGTACACACCCCTTCCCTGACAGCAGGCTGGTGGCTGCACATGACGGGCCCTGGCCGGAGTGGACCCGGGTCTCCTGCTCAGAGGGCGGCATTTCCACCACTGCGCCCCCAGTGGCCCCAGACCCACCCTAACCATCCTTAACAGCGTTGGTTTGTAAGGCCGGTCCTTCACACTTCCTGGGGTGGGTCTGTCTGTCTTTTCCCAAAGTCTTTCTGCCCCACAAGGGCAGATTCAGTGCAGATCGGGAGATCTGTCTTGGTGTGAGTCGTTGTGGGAGGCACTTCCTGCCCCAGGCGTGTGGCCTGTCCAGCACGAGCCAGGCTGGGTTCCCAAGGGCACAGGCCCAGATCACCGTGTGGCAGAGGTGCCACAAACCGTAGAGACCAATCAGGACAAAAGAGGAAGCTGTGGGGAGATGCGGCCCAGGCCACAGCCCCTCTGGGTGTAACAGACCACTGCCCTTGGCACTGTCACCACCAGGCGGGCGCCACGGTCTCCTGGACTCTTGGTTCTGCTATGGTTGCAACCGTACTCCCCTGCCCTTTACAGCAGTCAGCAGGCACCACCGGCCACGCCTGGGCACTGGGGAGCTCGGTTGTGTCCTGGGTCTCCTCCTAGGTTCCTGCACACAGGAAGGGTGTTTGGGTGCTGGGTCCCAGGAATGGAACATGTCTGCTGCCTTGGTCCTCTCGTGCTGCTCTAACAGACATACCACAGACGGGCAGCTTGGACAAACAGGAGTTTGTTCTCTTACAGTTTAGGAGGCCAGAAGTCCGCATTCAAAGGGCCACCTCTGGGGTCTGGGTGAAGGCCCCTGGACCGTGGGCTTCTTGCTCCCTGCCCAGTGGAGCTGGAGGCTTCTCCTGACTCAGGCGGCTGCTGGCTGCTGAAGTCGACAAATCCGAGGTCAACAAGTAAAGTGGCACAGTCCCACGATTACCAAACTACATGGCAGGCCACTAGTTCAAGTCCATTAACAGTCCCAAGATCAGCAGACAACGTGGCAGGCTGCTGAATGAAGACTCAGTTGCATGCAGGGTCCAAGCGTGCCAAAAAGCCCCAAGGCCTTTCTCAAAACTTCCCCTTGTGCACTGGGAGCAGACCCCATCCCTAAGGCAGCTTCTCAGCTGCTCCAGTAGATCCCACCATGGAGGTGATGACCAGTCTCCCGTGGGGAATCACTACATTCAGCTGCCCAGCCACTCAACCAGGCCCCGCCAAGCTGACACACAACCTCAACTACAACATCTGCCTTGGTCTCACCCTGGTCTGGTGGGTGGGGAAAGGGCCCCAGTGCAGCTGGGTAAGAAGTTGGGGTCTGAGTGGTGAGGGGGAGACAGGACGCAGGGTCCCAGTCCCTAGAGCAGACACCGTGGGCCTCGATCGCCCAGAAGGCCCTCGGTGACCTCCCAGTGAAGGCCGAACAAAGGGGCAGACTAGAAACGGGTGAACAGAGCAGTGGAGAGAGACAGACAGGGTCTGCTCTTTGGTGAAGGGTGGGGGCTGCTGGCTCCCGGCTCCCTGGGCACTGCACCGTGACCTGAGCTTCTCTGAGGGAGCAGGAGGTGGGCGCCACTCTGGGGCGGGAGGACTGGCCCTGTAGAGACAGGCCAGGCCGCCACAGGGTCCACAGCTCACGCGGGGCCTTCTCACTGTGAGCTTCTCCTCCTCAGGGGCCATGTCTTCGCACAAAGGGCTGAACGGAGCATGCTCGGTGCACGAGTACCCGGGGACCTTTGCCGGCCAGCCTGTCCACTTCAAGATGACGTCTGTGTGTGGTCACGTGATGACCCTGGATTTCGTGGGTGAGGGCGCACCCCTCCGGCAGCCCTGTGGGGAAAGCAGAGCCATAAGTCCTGAGGCCCCGTCCTTTCTGTGCCCCACCATCGCCGCACAGACCCCTGGGTGCCTTCCTGTGGCCGCACCAGGGGTGATGCCCACCTCGGGACAGGCCCGGCCCGTGCAGGAAGGGTCGGCTAGGAGCCCTGGGTCCAGAAAAGTACCCTGGGTGGAAAGAGTCTGGCCTGGGCCCCAGCGCCCTCTCGGCCAGCCCTCACCTGGGGTCTCTGCTCTTGCATTTCTGTGTGTGAATGATGCATTGCCCCGGGGCTGGTGACAGACAAGGCAGTGTGCTCAGCACAGGCCCGCCACACGGGACAGCCCCCGTGGTGTTTGTGCTGCTGGACCATGACAGTGGTGACGGGCGTGTGGCCAGCCACGGGGACCGAGCTCTGGCACAGCTGGCAAGCGGGGAGCCAGAACGCACTCGGCTCCATCCAACCCCCTGGCCCTGGGCGGAAAGAAACGGCTTAGAAGAAAGCCAGAGGGCTGAGCCCCCAGGAGCCCAGCGTTAGGGGCGGAAGCAGCTGGACATGAGGCCCAGAGGTTGCCCCTCCGCGGGGTGGACTGAGCGTGTGGGGAGGCGGGGCTGGCCGTGTGTCTGCGGCGGCCAGGCCAGGCTGAAGGCTGGCGGGACAGGAGATCACAGGGGAGCCGGGCTGACGGGGAGACACACAGTGCTGTGATGAGGTGCCGTGGGGGGAAGCACGTTCAGGAACAGGCTTGCTCGGTTCTTGGGATGGCTGTGCGGTGTGGTGTCCGCCAGGCGGCGGGACAGCGGGAAGGTGCGACGTCCTCGGTTCGCAGCCCGGCTCTGCCTCCTGCCGTCTGGGTGACCATCGGCACGTCACCCAGCTCCCTGTCCCTGTGTTTGAGGTGACAATGCCCCCAGCCTCCTCCTTGGGCCGGGACGTGGTGAAGCGAAGCTGGGAAGCTTGTGATGGGATGTCGCCGTGGCTCTGCTTGCAGGGAAGTACAACAAGTGGGACAAGGTGGACCCCGCAGAGCTGTTCAGCCAGGCGCCCACCGAGAAGAAGGAAGCCAACCCCAAGCTGAACATGGTGAAATTCCTGCAGGTGTGTGGGCAGAGCCGGGGCAGGCCCACGGGGGGCAGTGGGGGAAAGGGCCCGCCCACCTTGACTTGGCGACAGTAGTCCATGTGTCTTTCCGCCTTGGGCCAGTTCCAGCAGCCGCCGTCTTGACTCCCCCTGGTGATCCCAGGGTGTCAAAGTAGAGGTGTGCTCGTGACTTTTCAGCAGCCTGTGTTCAGGGCCCCGTGGGTCCTCCCGGTTAGCAGCCAGGTGCGTCGGTGATGTGAGTGCTGCCTGGGTACACCCGCCTTGTCAGGGAGCCTCCCTTCCAGCACCCCCCGGAAAGGGTGCTCTTGCCCGGGAAGCCCCCTCCAGCCTGCTCCTCCGTGCCCCACCATCGGGGACCTCCACTAGAGTCACCCCGACTTGGGGTGGGGTGGAGGAGCTCCACTTTAACACAGGGCTGGTTGGCCGGTTGTCCAATTTTAAAAACAAATGCACATGCATGATGGAAAACCAGACGAACAGGTAAAGTGGAGAGGACGGCCGGTGTCCTGCGGCCCCAGACGATGCTCTGAGCATGGAGGACAAGCTCGTTTCAGCCCTTTCTCTGGGCAGTGTTGTTCAGGGTTAGACGGTGTTTTGTAACCTGAAACACAGCAGTTCTGCCGGAGTTCGTTCTGGGGAGAGCGGCCCGCCCGCGGCGGCGGCAACAGCGCCCTGCTCAGCCCGGAGCCGGTGCCGAGCACGCCACCTGTTATCGCTTGTCCTCACGTGGACCCCAAAGCGCAGCCACCCCACGTGCGCCAGAGCAGACACACCTGCGGGGTTGGCGGCGGCTGCTGTTCTGGAGATAGATGGCCTTTCTTCCCGGTGCCTCTGAGCGCGTGAAGTGTGGGTGCCACCCGGGGGCACAAGCCGCCCGATGAGGCCCCAGCCCGGGGCTGCCCGTGTCACGGCTGGGCCGCAGGCTGCTGGCTGGCACTGCCAGGGTGTGGGCGTGAGGGCCTGCTTCGGGGTGACGCTGTGTGTGTGCAGGTGGAAGCCCGGGGCTGTGACTACATCGTGCTGTGGCTGGACTGTGATAAAGAGGGAGAGAACATCTGCTTTGAGGTGAGCGCAGCGCCGCGTCCCTCCTCGGGGTAGAAAGCTCGCTGGCCTCCCTGTCACCTGCCCCAAACAAGTCTAGAGTCACGGCGGGGACTAAACTGTGCCAGCGTGAGACTACGCCCTCGCCCCTTGCTTTAGAAGCCCCGTAGATGGTGATTAAGAGCAACTTCACTGGTAAAGCATCCATCTGTGAGTGGAGACGGGCAGAAGTGCTCCAGGCGACCCGGGACGGTTTCCAAACGAGTTCTGGAGAAGAGGGTTGGTTTTCCGAGTCCCGGGCCAGGCTTGGTCCACAGATGCTGGTCGGCCCCAGTCCCCTGCACCCCTTCCGCGAGCCGTCTCTCACCTCCCACCCTCCCATGTCCATCCTGTCGCCCCTCTCTGGGGAGGCCCCTGCGGGGAAGTGGGGGCAGCAGCCCGTGAGCACCCATGCCTGTGTGTCCTGGGCCTGGTGCCAGGCCCTGCGCAGCGACCGTGGTCACCCCACCTGGCGCCCCTCACACACCAGCTCCTTTTCTTCCTTTCTACTGTGTTTGGGCGAAAGTTTACAGAGCAAACTCACTTTCCATACAGCAGTTCACATATACTTGGTCTCATGACATTGACCACAGTTTACCACAATGCAACAGCTCCCCTCCCACTTCCTCCCCATAGTTACCTCTTCCCAGTGTCCATCCCTCCATGCACTCGCTGCCCAACCCCCCAGCTGTCTCCCTGTGCATAAGCAGCCCTTCTTTCTCCCATGATTGTTCTCTCCAAGGAGTGTATCTACCTCAGGGAAATGCTCAACTCGTATGCCTATCTTTTGTTTGGCTGGAAGCCACAGGCGTGGGTTCAATTCCAGATGCAAAGGGCAGCTAGGGACCATAGTCTGAGTGGTTCCACCAGACTCTATCAGACCAGCAACCTGGTCCCCCTTCTTTTTTTCCCCCCAAATGATTTTGAGTTTTGTTCCACATTGTTCTCACTCTCTGTCCAGGATCTCCTCCGTAGATCCCCCTCCAAGTGGCTGACAGTGGTAGCTGGGCACCATCTAGTTCTTCTGGTCTCATAGTCACACAGGCTGCGGATCGGATGACACAGCAGGTCCTTATGGTGGCAGCCATGGCTCTGCACACCCAGTCACTCAGGGCTCACACACCATCATCTCTTACACACACACACACAAGGCTTGCACACCCTCATACACACCAGGCTGGCACACCCTGACACACACACAAACACAGGACTGGCACACTGTCACATACAGACACCAGGCTGGCACCCCCTGACACAGGGCTCACACACACACACACAGGCATGGCTGGTACACCCTCACACACACGCATAACTGACATACCCTCACACCAAGGTGACAGACCCTCACAATCTCACAGGGCTGGCACACCTTTTCACACACCCTCACACGCACACACCATCACGCACACACACAGCTGACCCTCTGCTGGGGCCCGGCAAGTGGTCCTTGAAGCAGCAGAGGGCCTTGTACCTCCAGTGCGGCTGGGAGCTCAGCCTCTCACTTCCTCAGCCACGCACAGCAAACGTGACCTTGCTGGCCAACCTCGGGGGTCTCAGCCTGGAACCCCCAGGCCCTGCAGGACAGCCCCTCCCTGGAGCCTCTGCCCTGGGCGTGGAGAATGGGGCCACCACGGACCTTCCAACCCACAACAAGGCTACTTCCTACCACAAGGAAGCTGCCTGGCCCGGGGCCTGCAGTGACACCCTGCCCATGGCACGGCCACCTTAGTGACTCAGCCCTGGGACCCTGTAGGCCAGTGGCACCATCCATGTGCTCCTCCGAGTCCCCGCCACAGCCATCTGCTTCTGCCCTGTGCTGCCAGGGTGGGCCCGCTGCCTGTCCACCCCTCCGTCCACTTCTCACGTCCCTCTCCCTCTTCCTTGCCTTGTCCCAGTGCCTTGCAAACTCCCCTCCCTCCAAGCACCCCCTTCTAGAAGCCAGGGAAAGGGGGCAGTCCGGGGACAGCCTGGCCATGTGTGGCCCTGGCACTCGGTGGGAAGGGCCCCGAGAGGAGGGGGCAGAAGCACAAAGGGCTTGTTTGTGGAGTCGGCGGTCAGGAGGAGAGGAAGTCGTCAGGGGAGAGGCCCCCAGAAAGGGCTGCGGAGGGGCCTGTAGGGTGGGACAGGGCCGTAGGCGGGGCCGGCTCTGCCTGCGTGGGACGCCGACGGTGGCCCCCGATGGAATGACGGTGGGCCGTCTGCACCAGGTCCTCGACGCCGTGCTGCCCGTCATGAACAACGTCCACGGCGGCGAGAAGACGGTGTTCCGGGCCAAGTTCAGCTCCATCACGGACACGGACATCTGCGGTGCCATGGCCCGCCTGGGCGAGCCCGACCACAACGAGGCCCTGTCGGTGGACGCCCGCCAGGAGCTGGACCTGCGCGTCGGCTGTGCTTTTACCAGGTGGCCCCAGACTCCCCCGAGCGGGAGGGGAGCTTGTGAGCCCTGCAGGCCCCACCCGGAGCAAGGGGTACACTGTGCCCCTGCACCCCTGCCCCCCAGTGAAGCTGGGTCCAGCGCCCCCCCAACTCTGCCCCCTAATCAGAGCTCGGCCTCTGTGCCCCCGCACCCCCAACCCCACCACCACAGACCTGGGCCCTGTCTGTGGTCCCTGGGCTTCTGGTGTAGGAAATTTTCAACACTTTAAAAACTCTAAAGGAAATTACGTACTTAGCTGAAATAAGATTGCACAGGGGAAGAGAAGAATGCCAAGCAGTAAGAGGCCCCAAAACGGTAGACACCTTCCCCCTCTTGTTCCAGCTCCCGCCCATGTGTGCACAGTGGCCCATCCACCTAGATCCCGCCTGTCCGCGGTGGAGGCCACCGGGTTTCTGGTCGCCTCCCTCCTCCCTGAGCCCCCAGCATGGAGCTGGACTCACGCCTGCCGGAAGGACCGCCTCTCAGCCAACACGTGACCTGCTGTCTGCCCCGCCTCTTCTTCCAGGTTCCAGACAAAGTATTTCCAGGGGAAATACGGCGACTTAGACAGCTCGCTCATTTCCTTCGGGCCGTGCCAAACGCCCACCCTGGGCTTCTGTGTGGAGAGGCACGATAAAATCCAGTCCTTCAAGCCAGAGACCTACTGGGTGCTGCAGGCCAAGGTGCGTCTACCGCCCCCTCATGGTGCTGGGCCTTCCAGGTCTAGGGCCTGGGTCCTGAGTCTGTCCTCAACAGCAGTGTTGTCATATAACTAAAACCCCACTGCCATAGAGTCAATTCCGACCCACAGCGCCCCTAGAGGACAGAGTGGAACTGCCCCAGAGGGTGTCCCAGGCTGTCAGTCTTCAGGAAGCAAAGCCCAAACCACGCCCACTGCCGTAGAGTCGATTCCACTCACAGCGCCCCTAGAGGACAGAGTGGAACTGCCCCAGAGGGTCTCCAAGGCTGTCAATCTTCACTGAAGCAAAGCCCAAACCACACCCACTGCCGTGGAGTCTATTCTGACCCACAGCGCCCCTAGAGGACGGAGTGGAACTGCCCCACAGGGTCTCCAAGGCTGTCAATCTTCACAGAAGCAAAGCCCAAACCACACCCACTGCCGTGGAGTCTATTCTGACCCACAGCGCCCCTAGAGGACGGAGTGGAACTGCCCCACAGGGTCTCCATGCTGACAATGTTCACAGAAGCAAACTGCCTCATCTTTTTCCTGCAGAGCAGCTGGTGGGCTTCTCACCTGCTCTCGTTGCATCCTTCTTCTGTAGGTGAATGCTGATAAAGACAGAACTCTCCTTCTGGACTGGGACCGAGTGCGAGTGTTCGACCGGGAGATTGCACAGATGTTTTTAAACATCACGAAGTTGGAGAAGGAAGCCCAGGTGTGCCTGCCCTGCCCTACCTGTCAGCTTGTGAGGAAGGACTTGGGAACCTCTGGCTACAGGCACAGCTTGTGGCCCACCGCCCCATGTTTTTCCCTTTGACAAACACAAAGATCTTTGGGAAAAAGATTGGTTACTCACCCATGCGGCCAGCACAACATTAGTAGTTGCTTTTGAGTCCCCAGCTCATGGCAACCCCAGCACAAGGGAATCCAGTGCTACCCCGCCTGCGCCATCCTGGGCCCGGCCGCAGGTCGGAGCTTTGTGATGCATAGGGTCTTCCATGGCTGGCTGTCGGGTCACCAGGCCGCTCTCCCTACACCGTCTGAGTCTCAGAGCTCATAGCGGTGTGCACAGCTGTCCAGTCTGCAGGTTGAACCTGGCGGCTGGCTGGCCAACCCAGTGTAGCCCACAGCTGTATTTG